TCAGGAGTAGTACTCATTTGGATACAGATGTGCCCTTGTGAAGACATCTTTTTCCTATGTTCATTTTCCTCCCAGAAAATGCATTTCACCTTAAATGCTTTCCTACTTCCTAGATATCCATGTGCCCCAAATATTTGTGGTGCCTACTGAGACCAGAATCCTTCTTTAGGTCTACCCATTACTGAACTGAATAGAAAAACTAAACAGAACAAATTTAAATAAATTCCTATTGAAAATATTAGCACAAGCTGTAGTGGTGCCTGCCTGTGATGCTATCACTCAGAGTGTTGAAGCAGGAGGATTGCCATAATTCTGAGGACAGTTTGGGCTACGGAGTGAGTTCTAAGCCATCGTGTGCTACATCGCAAGACGCTGTCTCAAAAACCCAACTGTAAAGCTGTATTTATCTAGTGAATATGTATATTATTCTTGCATAATAAATTTTAACTGTATGAACAAGATTTGAGCTTAAAATTGGATCTACCACAGTGCTTACCACATGGTTTTGATAATAGCATCTTTTTTAAAAATTTGTAAGTGAGTTACAAAGTACTGGGTTTCATTATAACATTTTTGCACATGTGTGTCATTCTACTTTGTTCTATTCTGTCCCCTCTCCACCATCATATGTCCCCTGCCCTGCTCTGGCTGATTCCCTTTCTTCTCTCAGGAAACCACCTACTTCAGATTTAAAGGTGCTTGCCACCACACTGGGCAATAACAGAATCTTAATAAATCCTTTTACATGAGGAAAAATGACATTCTAAAATAAGATGTAATAATATAGTGATTGTAAGGTGAGCTACTAATAACTGATAATACTGGAGTCATTTCTTTTTATTTATTTTAAAGTTAGTATATAAAATAATGGGTTTCCTTAAAGCATTTTCTTTGTGCATTTTCAGTTCCATTGTACATACTTTTAAAATTGTTCACATACCCTACTGCTCTGCCTCAGGTTTCCTGCCTGCATTTGAAATGTAGTCACCAGTGCTCTGGTTATTTAAAATTCATAAAACCCAAATTTCAACAGCTAATATTCATAATTACTTAAGAGATTATTATTATTATTATTTTTATTATTATTACTACTATTACTATTATTATTATTATTAAACAAGTGCTTAAGTATTTCTGTCCCAGCCTTGCAGATAGTTCAGACTGCAGGTTTATGGTGTCAGGTCCAAATGGTACACCATTTCTTCCCAAAAGGGCAGGCCCACCGACTTGGTCCAATATTAAGTTTAGGCTCATCATGATACTACAGAAGAATTTCTGACTATCAGATAAAAGACAGAATTCTTCAGGAAATTGTGAAACAGGTTCCCTTGCCCCTAGCAAAATGGACATATGACTCATCACTAACATATATCTGTGGCAAGTATCAGCATATCCAAGTCCATGCTGGCATCCGGGCTCTCTCAGTCCCTATTCACAAATAGCTTTTCCTTGACTGTCCTGTCACACACATAGCAAGCATAACTAGCCAATAGTATTATTTTGATAGAAAAAAGATATTCTAATTCTAAGTAAAAGGAATTATCTAATCCCATGATGATTTATAAATATGTTGCACGACAATTATGAGTACATTAAAAATTATGTAAAACAACTAAAAATACAAAATAACACAAATATTCATTTTAATTACCAAAGCCTAAAATAAATAATGTATTTCATGTGAGAATTACCAGAAAGGACCAAGCAAACATTTTTAACTAGTATAATAATCTTGTGCTAGCCATTATTTTTCTATAATTATATTCAAATCTACTTTTCAGTAGGAAATAGGATTATGAGTCTTCTTTTTTGTTAATCAGGACAATTATTTAATTTCTATGTGTTTGTTTTCCATAAGTACGTATTTTTCTTTTTTCTTTTACTAGAACAATAAGCTATAAAACAACAATTTTTATATACCTACTAGTGATACCAAAATAAATTTGCAAAGGAATAAAGTTTATTTGTTCATTATCACTTAATTATCACCTGTTAAACTTGACAGAAATCACCATTAAAAGTTTCCATTGTTGGAAGCTTGGGAGGGATGGTATAGAGGTGGAGTTAAAGAGAAAGCCAAAGGAGATGCTTCATGTGACACTTAGAGCAGGGCTGACCATAACAGTCCCTCAGCTGTGGGAAACCTGGGCATATACAAAGAGTGGTGTGAGCTATAGATGTTCTGGAATTTAGATCCCTTACTAACTCCACTCCTCACAACTTCCAGGTACCTCTGGTGAATTCCCCTATTCCTATTTTTTTTTACTGTCAGGTTGCTGTTGATATATTAGAGACAAAGAAAGCAAAGCCATTATAATGACAAAAGGGCCTTCAACAGAACTAACTGCAAAGGAAACCAGGGCTGCCTATAAACTCCTTAGTAACGGTGATGTCACTAGCCTACTTTCCCACTCAAAGGGCATTGTTTTCTTGTCCAGTTTTGCCCAAACCCAGGCCCATCACAAAGCTACCTTGAAACTAACTGCACTGCCACAAAGTCTAATGAGGTACCCAAAGCTCACGTGTGAGAGGAGGTAGGATGGCTCAGTAAACTCAATCATACTAAAAGAAAACTTTCATAAGAAAGCCCTCCTTGAATCCACTGTTCTCGCTCAATGTCCTCTGAGCTTTCTCTTCTCTATAATAAGCATTGAGAGCAACCAAAAAACAAACAAACAAAAAAACTCAGCTCTTATTTTAGCTAGAAAGGAAGAGTGAAAAACACCCACTCCCTTTATTCCCCATGCCACACTGTACTGTTTCAACATCCCTGTCACATTACCGCATTAGCAAGAGTTCCTTTGGATACTGTTACAAAATCATGTCCTGTTCCACATTGTTTCAGTCAAGGACAGAGTGCCCACATGATGGCATTCCCATAGTATTTCATCTCCTAGTGATGTCCCTGTCATCTCAGTTCATGTAAACCCACTTCACAATGTTCTCAGAGCAGTGACGATGCCGGCAGACACACTGTGCAGAGCAGAGCCCCAGAGCAAATGGATACATGCGTATACTATCCAAGCTGGGTGTGGTTTCACGTAGAAAACAATGGAGTAGTGCTGTATGTATCCACTATTTAGCCAGAGTCAAATGTGTCCCACAAGTCTGTGAATGTAAGTATAACATTTCAGAATGGCAGTCACTAGAGTCTGACTCAGACCCACTCCCTGTATGTGTAATCTCATTTCCCTCTGTCGTTTTGATATTTAAATTTGAAGTTATACAAGCTGTGATCATTTCCCTTCATACAAGTAAATCTAAAGGCAGATGTACGAACTCCATTTTACATTTGCAATAGGAATAGACCCTGTGGGGGTTTATCTACATGAAAGCTACAAAAAAAAAAAAGAGGTATTTCAGGGAGAATGTGATCAAATTAAAGAGATGAAAAGATCATGAAATACTTCATTTCTCCATACATCTGAGACAGTCTTAACAGATGACAACACACTGCCGATCTTTACGCCTTCACAGCTTTTCTACTAATTGAGACTTTTGATTATTTCAGGGTGTACATTCCTTATCCCATATTGGTGGACTGACCTTCCAGATACATTATTAAAAGTTGCCACTGAGGAAACAACAACAAAAATCTGGAGCAGGGTCTTTTAAGTTACACTAACAAAAACCAAGAATTCTCCCAAGTAACTCTAAATACTGAGACCCTGTCTCAAAATAGAAAAAGGAAACAAAAGAAAACCCAACCAAACAAAAAAGCCCAAACTTAGAAAAATCAGTAGAATTTACCTTTAAAAAATTAGTTGTACTTGTTAGATTTAATATCTTAATGTATTTATGCTTTACAATAGTAATCATGTTTATTACATATTCTCATGTTCAAGGCATTTTATTTCTTTAAAATAGATTCATTTCTATTTTTAATTCTGTGTGTGTGTGTGTGTGTGTGCATTGGATTTCCTGGAGATGAAGCCACAGGCAGCTGTGAATGGCCTGACATGGGTAGTGGGGACCGAACTCACATTCTTTGGAAGAAAAGGCCATGCTCCTAACTGCTGAGCACCTGTCCAACTCCCCAAGGCATGCTCAAATGCATATCTCAGCAGATCGCCACTAAGAGTCCATAATGTCAACTGGCCCAGGTTGAAGCACAGAGAGGAAGTAATAAACACTGCAGAGCAAAACAGCTGTGATACTGACACTTTATGTGGATCAAAGGACTTTTTAAGGAGAAATATTTTAGATCATTCAAACATAGGTTTCCAGACACTTTCAGATATTTGAATTGCTTAAAGGGTATGTATGACAAATAAACAATGAGGAGGGAGATGGTGTGCTATACTCACTCTTCATAAAGTTTGCTTGATAGTAAATGCTCATTTCATTCTCATTTTATGAAAATGTCCATAGTAGTTTACCTTTCAAAACAGATAACTTTTGAATTTAAGGCGCTTTTAAAATGATAAATGTTATATGTATACAGCATGAACTCCTTAATCTATCAATTTGCTACTTTTGTTACTGGTAATGTCAGAGTCCTGAATTTCAAATAACATTCCAGTATGTTTAGACTATGTTGGGTGGAAAAGTGATAACATTATGAAATTCATTTGAGAAAGTAACTTCTTTGCAGAAGAGTTAGTTGCAAAATTGAAAATAATTACCAAAAAGGAAAGTGCTAACTAAGCATTACGCATTCCCCCCATACTTGTTACTTTCCCATGTTGCTTTTTTACCTACGGGACAACAGAATCACAGGGGTTAGGGATAGCCTGGAATTACTTTGTACTCCTTCAAACATTGTTCTCTTTCTTCCTTTGTAAATTCTTTGAGACAGACACAGAAAAGAGGAAAATAAACGATCAGGACTATTCCACCCTCTTGAGGAATGCAAATCCTTCCAGAATAATCAATGGGCAGGGGAACAAACCAGGTTGGAGTGACCAAGGTTGGGACTGTGACAACTGGCCTTTCCCTTGACTCTTTCAACAGAGCATATGGACAGTCAAGAGCCTACCACTTATCCAGGAAGAGCTTACCTGTTCGTAGTATCGGATATTCTCCTCGGCTGTGTCTGTAAATGCTGACTTGAGATCATTTTGCATGTTCTGCTTCCACCGTTCCCAGTCTGCTTTCAACGCATTGTTAGCACATTCCACTTTATCCTCAAGTTTTCCGATTTCCTCTGTAAGCTGAAGAACGTCACAGGAAAAGGTAAGTCAACATGCGTGGTCTCACCATGCGGAGAATTCACTGGGTCCATGTAGAATGGCCATTATATTAAGAGAGCTCCTGATTTGGATGAGGAGGTCATCAGATCTGACCATGCACAACTGTTAAACGTGGAAAGTGCACTGAATTCAGGAGATGCCACATGAGCACTTCAGTTTGGATATGAATCCAAACCCTGTGCTTCCGTTTCACTATTCCCACAGCAAAGACAACTGAATAGCACACATCTACAAAAGAATTACACTAATACTCCCATGATCCCTATTATTAGTGGTGACAATATACATTTATGGTAAAAGAAATGGGAATTCCTTCACTTCAGCTTTTCAGTTCTGGTTCCCATTCTCTAATTCTTTTTAGCCAGAATATAAATGAACTACACGCATAGCCACAGAGATTATGTTTTCAAATATGCAAACTTAGGGAATTGATTTCCACAGTTTTACGTAGGTAAACTGATATCTTAGTTTGGGGTTACTGTTTGCTGTGATGAAACACTGTGATCAAAAAGCAAGTTGGGGGAGGAAAGGGTTTATTGGGCTTACACTTCTATACTGTAGTTCATCACTGAAGGAAGTCAGGTGAGGAACTCAAGCAGGGCAGGAATCTGGAGGCAGGAGCTGTGCAGAGGTCATGGAGGGGTGCTGCTTACTGGCTTGCTCCTCATGGCTTGCTCAGTCTGCTTTCTCATAGAAACCAGGGCCATCAGTCCAGGAATAGCACCTCCCATAATGGGTTGGGCCCTCCCCCATCAATCACTAACATCCTACAGGTCTTATGGACAGATCTTCCCAATCAAGATTCCCTTTTTTTTTTCTCTCTCTCTCGTCCCCACCAAACTTGGAGCATAATGTCATTGGTTTAGCCTTTAGATTTGGCACATTGAGACATATTTCACATATGCATGTGCTTGCTAATAAACTCAGAATAATGTATTAAGTGTCCTGCCTGTTCCAGAGATGTCACTGGGACTGGAAAACTCAGCAGTGAAGACATTAGACAAGATCTTTGCTTTTTCTAGAGTTTCTTCTCTCCTGGGGAGAGACAAACTATAAGCAAAATAAATAAAATATGAACCATCAACTAGTATAAAAGTTAAAGGGGAAAATGAAGCCTCACACTAGAGAGAAAATTTTAGGCCACTGAAATTTTAGACAAGGTGGCCAAAGGAAACCTAAGTAAGGAAATACCATTAGAACTGAGATGTGATATTTGAGAGTGAAACATGGGGTCTGCTCAGTCAAAGCTGTCTGAGCAGAGGCCTGGGTGAGACATGGACCTGGAGATGGATACATGGCTGGTAGACTCAAACAAGAACTAGGGTGGACTAAACTTTGAGAGGACAGAGAGAAGCAGCAAAAAGATCCCATCATAACACATTCCGTGAAAAGGCTCGGGAGCTTACAGAACCAGAGGACAGTCGGGAGATGTGAGCAGAAATGATTCTCTCTCTCATGTTAATGATACCACCTTCTTAGTGTTTTACACTATACTCAGGCATCACTTGTGATTGGTTGGATTTATAAAGGGCCATCATTTAAGAAGCACTTCTTATTTCCAAAGAAATTACAATATGGAAATATCTTAAAGTCAATAAAATATATTTTTACTGATGCTTGAATTAACTTTTCCTATAATATTAAATTTTACTTCCTTGTTTGTAATTTTATACTTTATATTTCCAAGAACAGGTTTTATATACATGCACCACACACACACACACACACACACACACACACACACACACACACACAATCACCTATATGGGCACACATACAATCTATATTCCCAATGGCAGGTTTATTTTACTGGGAAGGTTCATGATGTATTATTTTCATGTTTGCTTTGATAGGTAGAACTATCTCAGTGACATCACTAATCACTTTATGAGTTTTGTAATTTTTATAAGTGGTTATTAAGCTAAGTAGTAATGAACATGTCTACCCGAATGTTAGCTGAATGGCTGATAATCATGGGTGGTGGGTGCTAACAGCTAAACCTGAAGTAAAGGTGTTAAAAGACCAAACTCATGCAGCACCCATGCCCACTAAAAGGAGCTTTGAGGCTGTTAGTCTTTCTCCTCTGAGTTCTCAGCAGCAGAGCCGTCCAGATATTAAACAAATATGTAGGGTCCAGGGTCCACCCACCAACTGTGATAAACCTCTCTTCTGCTTAGCTTTCTCATCTACAATATAACATGTGCAGGGGTTGGCTGGCATGGATGCTCTCCAGAGACTGGCTTTGGGAAGCACAGCATTTCACTCGGATATTTTATCTTCCCCTGCTTCCTGTGAAGGTTAAATTCTACCACTGCTCTAACCAACTTACAGCAAAATTGTCTTCTGTCACTCTTTAACTCGGCTGCATTCAAGTCCCTCAAATGAGGTCAGGTTGATGATGGTTCAGCTCTATCCAAGGGCTGCTACAGTTCTAGAAAACAGTTCTCTTCTGACCTCAGAGAACAAGTCACTAGTCTGTCGATGCAGCCTCAGGACTGGGGTTCAATTTCAGGTTGAGGATGTGATAATATAAGGCTATTTGTTGAAGCTTTAGCTCCACCTCCATCAATAAAACAAACATAAAAATAATAGCACTCATTTCATAGGAATTATTTTTAAATACACAAGCATGGAATTACATACTGTCTGACAGTTTGCCTACTAGATGGTTGTCCTTGACCATCATGACCAAGAACATCACACCGTCAGTATTAGCTGTTACTATGGACACAGACATCCTTTCTTCCTCGGGTACTTCAATCTCTGACAATGACTTATTCTTCTGTCGACATCTGGGACTTGCTGGAATCACTAGTGCTGTTTCTAACTTTGTCTTTCCTAATGTGAAGGGTGATAGGTCTGTTTCAACTAACTATGACCAATTCTTGATGGGTGTTTTTGCTGCATCTTGTTGACAAGTTCATCATTTCAGTGGGATTAAGAAAAATGAAAAATGTCTGCACAGTGAATCATATTCTGGGGATATTAATTCAAAAAGTCATGACACCCAATTTAAAGAGTGGTCTGCACTGTGCCATTTTACTGCTCCACAAAAGCACAACTAGATGCTGTTCTCAGAAGATGCTCAGTGAACTTCAAATTTCTTACTTTTTTTTTTGAGACTGGGTCTTTATGTAGACTATGTTGCCCTCAAACTTAATACAAAGCAGAGTATGACCTTGAACGCGGTCCTCCTGCTGCCTTCACTCCCTTCCTATGTCTCACATCTGGCTTCATAGTTCTCAGGCTCTCATCCAGGGGTTTAGCAGTCTAGGCAAGCACTCCACCAACCAAGCCACAATCCCAGCCCCTTATCACTTGCTTTGTTACAAAGATCAGGTATTTTTGAGTCTGCCGTCTGTCTGTTCTGACAGAACATAGACATTCAACAAAAATTAACAAATGCATGAAAATAGGATGTGTTAGAAACCTGCCAGGCCAAGATAACACCTCCAGGCTTCCAGTGCATTGGGCACTAACAAATGGCAGGTTCTGCTAATTTTAACCATTTGGAATTCAATTCATATTCTGGATTGCAAAATAGTCTGGAAAAGGACTAGGTGAAGAGGACTGAACATTTTCCCAATTTTTCTTTTCATAAACACTTGTAGCAATTGGCTTTCTGTCTGATGAAACTTAAAAAAGCAAGAAATTACAAGCAAAATGTTCTAAGACAAAAGCAATTACTAACAGAATACTGGAAGGTAATGAGAAATGATTTACACTTAATAGTAAAGCTAATAGGTAACTTCTAGATTCATTATTATTCAGTTAGATATTAGCCATACAGTTAAATGAAACTCATTAATACTAGAAGATGTGGGGGGGATGGATATGTAAATAAGAGTGTTTCTAAAATTAAAAAAAAATACTAGAAGATGAATCAATCTCATCTTCAACTGGTACATATCCAAAGCAATAGTAACAATGGCAATATTAGATACTTAATACATTTCTTCCAATTACTGGTTTATGCTATATGCTTTGCATATATTATCACATTTAATCTGCCTAAACACATTGTAAATTAGGTTTTCTTTTCTTTATAATAGAAGTTGGAAATCTGGAAGAAAAGACTAAAAAAGACTGCAGTAACTTGTGACATAACAGGATTTTTAAATCACAATCTGCTACACATGTGTTCTCCCTATGCCAAGAGACTATGACCACCCATGCATTGGCCTAGCCTGTCCATGATTTTCAAGAGTGAACTCATTTGTTTCTCATTGTCAAAATTGTCATCTATAAGGACACAAATAGGCAAAATGAAGCAAAAGCCAAAATCTACGGGTAAAAGGAAGAACATATAGCATCTATTACTATGGAGGAAAATGTTCAGATGAAAATACAGATGCAGGATATCAGACTAAGTCTGGTTGCGGGGCAAGCCTATTTTGACCATTTACTCACTGGGCCTTACACGTAGGTGTGTGTACAGCATGAGCACAGACATTAGGTTCCAGTGAGACAAGGAAGGGAGAGATGATAGTAGAATTTGGAGTGGATAAGAAGAAAAATAAGAAATACAGTGGGGAAAGCCGACGCAAACTGGAAGGTAGAAGCTACTGAATACAAAATGGATTCTCTGGGGCTCAGCTTTGTCCAGAACATGGGGGACTGTTTTGAGTAGATGAGACAGAGTGAGGTGGGGCAGGAAAACAATGGATTGGAATCAGCATTCAGCAAGTTATCAAGAAAAAGAACAAGGAAGGTATGGGTTACTGTCACCCATTCACCCGTGGTATTAACTCTGCACCCATCCAGTTTACATCACGTACTAAAAGATGGGGAATAGACGTAGTAGTCCTCATGAACTCCTCCTGACACAACAGATACAAAGCATCTGGTTAGAGAAAACACGAGAAACATTTCATGGGAAGTGAAGGCGAGATTCACAGAAGCAGAAGCATGCTTATTTTGGAGTTTTGGAAGAACTGCTTATGGTTCTTTATTATAGGGAC